ACGTTTATCGAAAACTGCTAACCACAGCTTGTTTAGGTTGACGCGCTTCGCTCATTAGCAAGGGCCGTCTTAATGAGCTCGGCGATCGGCGTCACTCGAGGAAGCTGGAAGAAAACAAAGACTGAAGAAATGGTATAGACGCACAGTGGCTTTCGAATACAAGCTCACTTCGGCTTGAGGTTAGAGCAAACGAATATATTTGAACTGACGGCGGGACATATAACGATTGAAAATCAACTAATATTACCACAGAGAGAAGCACAGTGGCATTCGAATACAAGCTCACTTCGGTTTGAGGTTCAAGCAAACGAATATATTTAAACTGACGGCGGCACATATAACGATTAAAAATCAACTAACATTACCACAGAGAGACTGATCTTTGTTCCTTGAATAACTTCTAAGTAGACGTGAGAATGAAGAAATTGAGGTACTTGGGGAATTTCTACGGTGGTATAAGAGCGCCCGGTCATGTTGAATAATTGAGCCCATATCTGCTTCTTATTGTTTCAAAGATCAATTCTTTTGCTTATTTATTTATTTCTTTTTCTATACAGCCAGCATTCACTTTGAACGCCAAAAGAGGGAGTCGTACAACTGTAGCCGTGCACTATACCAAGGTGACCGTGAATAAATAACAGGACAGTGGATTAGCTACGCGACAAAGTGCTCCTATAGAGCATCACTAAAAGTAGCAAGTGACACCGAACTAACAACACCCTTGGGAAGCTTGTTCAATTCATTCCCAGTATTGGGAAAGAAGGTTTTCAACAAACTGGTTCCACAGAACGGTTCCAGTGAGTGTTATACTCAGTTTCACGATAGCTTGGCGAACTGCGGAGGCTGCGACCCTCCGACCCAATAAGTGCGTCGGAGCAAGGCACGTGACAACACCACAAGGTCGAGGTCACAGAGACCTGGTTACCGCCACAACAAAAGCGCCGTCCGCGACAAAAATGACTTCTAGGCTTCCTTTCCTATGAGTATTGTTACGGCCAGATTCCTCTGACCGCAACACTACACGACACGGAGGAAAGACGAATACATGTTACTTTCTAACGATACTTAATATGGACCAACGCATTTCCGAGAACAACATGGCTTTTGAACGATGTTTGAACAATCGCGGCCGTGTAATCGACCTCTTCCGCTCCAAATATCGCCCTGGCATTAGAACCCGCCACAGATTCGAGGGTAAATTGAGCGTATGGTTGTCTCATGTATGGGCGTAGCAATCGGGGGAGCAAACGGGGCGCTTGACCCCCCCCCCCCCCCCCCCACACACACACACCAGTTCTCAGAGTATGGACAAGGCATGTGTTTTGCCTCCCCTCCCCTGATTCTCAGGATGGAGGGGGGGGGGGGGGGGCAAGGCTTGTGTTTTGCCCTCCCCTTTCTTTAAACAGCCGCCACTGGACAGGGCAAACACTGGCCGGCGGTGCTCAAGAGATTTGGCCGAGAAGCATTCGAAATTCGCTCTGTCACCTCGCGCCGCCTAAGCAAAGGATCCGGAAGGAGGTGGCTTGAGTTACCATCGGAGGATGAAATTCCCAACAAGTTATGGATTGCCCTAGTGGCTCCGCTTCGTCTGGACAACGTGTGCAAAGAACCATTGAAGAAACCAACTTCTCTCGACTTAGCTGCTGGCGGACCCAATGAGTGCGTTTATCCCTCCGACAAGGTCAGCGCGCACTTTCCCGGATCTCGACGGCATCGGTGAATCACGCATCCTTGACGCATGTACTTGTCTGCTACTGCGGAAACCTAAAAAAATAGGGATATTGAGACTGTCTGGCGGCGCCACATGGTGAGCAGATTGTGAATTATGCTCGTAAGCGTTTGCACTGCGAAATTGTATCTTGACAAAAGGCGAAGCTGTTTTCTTCTTTGTTTTTTTTTGTTGGAAAGGAACTCTTTCCCGAAACCACCGGCAGCCCTCACTTGACACCACCAAATGCATGGGACTCTATGTGAAAAATTCGAAAAGCGCCGTTTCCCCTGTTTCTGAGCTGTTGGCAATAAAACATTTTTTTGGCTGCTTTTCATGAAGCCTATCAAATAGCTTGTGCAAAACCGTTAAAACTGAAGCTTTCACAGTTCTTATAAATAAATGTTTTGTGGTGGAGAGTGACTCCGGTGGGCGAAAATGTAGTGCAGTTCAAAGAGACAAGAGTTGCACAGAGTCACTTCGGAATCGGTGGCGGTTTTGATGAGTTGGGTTTAGCAGACGACGAACTTGAAGGCTTTGTTATGTGGACTTGCTCCCCCCCGGAAAGCCGCTGCCAACATGTAACCATTTCTAGGCTTCCTCGAGGACGGTCTTATTAACGGCAAGTTCCTTTCTTTACTCCGCGACGAGAGCAAGCGGCCACCTCAGCCGTGGGTGCTGTGGGGCGAGTAATTTTTTATAATGTGCGTTTGAACGCTTGACAAATATCGATTCGATCACAAAGCACCCGATACAATGATTGCAGCACGTCATAAGATACTCACCTTCAAGCACCGGGCAGAAGATTAAATATTGCTACTTTTGTGTGCTTCTCCCATAGGCTTGCATGTATTGCCTGGACTCAAGTAATGGCCGCCGGTGATGCCACCGACGGCCTCCCGATCCGCAGTCGAGCCTACTACAATAGAGACCAGTGATGGCAGCACTCCTGGATTTTCAGTGTGCTGATGGCAGCACACTGGGTTTTCAAAACGTTCCAATTTTTGCAGAAATTCTACTGCAATATCCTCTCAAAAAGGCGCAACGAGCTCCTTTGAATTGTGCTGTCTTATTATGTTGACATTGCCACTGTAGACATGTAACTAGTCAATGTCTGTACTAAAATATCAAAAATCAAAAATTCTGCAAGTTGGAGAACTTTTATTAACATTATTACATCATTGCTACGTACAGTGTAAAAGTTTGTCTTCACTTCATAGAAACCAAGGGCACCGCCCCCCGGCCCTAGGGGAGGGGGGGGGGGGGGTCTAGTACGCCTTTCCCACCAAAAAAACAAAAACAAGTTGGTACGCCAATGGTCTTATGAACTGTTCCAGAAGAGCTCGCTAGTTTAGCGGACGCCAGTGCTGAGGCAGTGGACGTTATGAATCCGGAGCTAGTTGGTTCCGCAGCAGACGACTCTTGGCGGGCAGACGACAACCGGTTCCTCAGGGCCTCGCATTCGGCGCAGTGACATGAACGCTCCCGTGATGTGGTGTCACGCGCCTCGTTCCGACGGGACCCGTAGCCTCCGCAGTTCGCCCAGTTATCGCGAAACGGAGTATAGATGGTGTTTGTTTCGCGTAGGCCTAGTTTCATTAGTTGCCGTGTAATGGCTCAAACAGAAACGCTAATTGCCTTGGAGCACATTTAAAAGATATTCAAGGCGGTCTAGTTTTCGTCGCGCTGCTAAATCACAAAACCCAGGCAAAACATGTAAGTTGGAAATTGTAGACATCAAACTGTACCGATTATACACAAAACGCAGCGCTTTCTTTTGGCTGCCTAAAGCATATCGATTAAAGATTTAGTGAAAAAAAAGGGGGGGGGGGGGGGGGGGGAGTAATATGGGTCTGATACTAGTTTTATAGGCGGTCAACTTAGTTCCAGAAGCGCAGTGACAAAGATCGCGTTTCAAAAATCACAGTTTCTGCATAGCTTTTTTGGCTACGTAGTTTACATGGACTTTCCAGTTTAGACCTGTACACGTGACTCATCTGACGAAATCGATCATGCTTGGACCTACTTCCAGAGGTTGTTTGATTCGACTACTGATTGGCTGCACACAAATGGGTTTAAAGCTAAATATATATAAAAAAACGGCATTTTAAATCTCTTGTGAAATAACGAGGTATTTGCAGATCGTTGTATCCGATTTAAATGTAAGCGTTTTACAAATATATTTTTTTTTTATACAGGAGAGTTTTTTTAATTGAAGAATTTTTTTATAAACTTTCTTCAAATAATTAACACGAAAATGACGCAATGCGCCTCGACGACATGGTTACTGTGCATTTGATAAAACAGATAGTATAATTCACAATTTACATTAAATAAATTACCCGAATGTAACTCGGGTCACCTTGATGACGATAGCCAAAGTTTAGTTAAAAACGAAGAAGTGGTGTTCAACTTTCACTTTAAACAAACAAGATCATGAACTTTTATTTCAGAACAAAAAAAGTAATTTCTTCCTTACCTGTTATTTGCCCGCTCCGGACCCTGAAGGCAGAAAGAGGGCACAACGATCGCTTTAAGAGCAAGAAAACACACCGGATACGTGCCGCCATATTTAATCTTTGCAGCTTGCCAAAGACTTTTCTAGATGGTGTCAAAAGTCAGGAAGGAAAATTAGTTTTTTTTTTTTTTTCATATTGCTTCCACTCACATCACATCAACCTCTGTTGTGGTAGCCTTGATGTTGGGCGTGTACATTTTACAACGCACGTTGAGCACTACAAAATTTTTTTTTTTTATTTTTCAGCCAGGACAGTAAGGAATGACCACCAACGTAATGAAATGACGACACCTGCCATCCATTTATTGCTACGATGGAAACAAGTATGCTCATTTTTTACCCTTGAATCCCGAGGGCAAGCACTAAACATAATTATCACTTGCGCAGCCGTGTAGCGTTTTCAACACCTGCAATATGTACACACACATACACACACTCACACACACACGCACAAGCAAACGCACACGCACGGACACTCACACACAGACACACAGACACACAGACACGCGCGCGCGCGCGCGCACGCACGCAGGTTTACACACACACGCACACACACACACACGTTTCAAGTCAACCGTAGTCTTACTTTCATACTAGTAGGCCAGCGTAAACACATTCGCAGAAACGTCGGCACACACAAATGCAGATCATGTTTCGAAGCCCGCTTATTCCAGATCCTGAGCGTAAACTATGATATGGAAACGGTTTCCACCGGTCGTGCTCTTCATCCGCGGACATCATGCATGTGGGCACACGTTTCACGAGACCGGTTGATCCAACATCTTAGTGGCGTCGCCTTGAGCTCCGAATAAACCACTTTCAGACGACAGCTATGTTCCCGTTAGTGATCAACTTTCCTGCACCGATCGAGGCCAGGGCCTTCAAGGGCTGTCCGGGACAGCAGTCGCCCGAGGACGCTTCGAGAGCACACGTTGACGTGGTGAAGGCGTTGCCTCCCTTGCGCATCGTGGACTCGCGCTCGGTCCCAAAGTTTCTGCGTCTTCTGAACGCTCGAATGATGTCCCGCAGTCCGCGACGGATGTGGGCGTTGAAGAGGCCGTAGAAGACCGGATTGACGGCGCTATTGAGCAGGGCCAGCGTCTCGGCGAACACGATGACCGCCCTGGGGACCTTGATGCAGTAGTGACTGTGAATGCGGATATTGTGGACGGCGAAGTACGGGATCCAGCAGACCACGAAGCTGGCGATGATGCAGACCTGTTAGGGGGAGATATGATGCGAACGGGTTGGCAACCATACTATAGTGATTCCATGTAATGAAATCTCAAGGCGTGAGTGCTCGCGGAAGTGCTTAGTATTTAAAACTGCACAGGGAAATCGGGATATCAGAAGAATCTTTTCAAGGACACAGAAACCCACTGCGGAAGTCTAGCATTTTATGCACTTTAAATTTGTCATGTAGTAACTCATGTGGAGGCCGTTACTCAAAAAGATGAGTAACATTGTCAAATTTCGTTTTTTCATCCCTCTTGGAGGCACGGCCATTGATAGCAGCCTCATGGCTAACTCACCACAAAGATGCGAGAATCAGCGATTTCATGAGTAACTAGTCTGGTACGCATCAACTGTGGTTCATATTTTCGGAGCGTTACTCATACCAGCGGGGAGGGAATTTCGCGAAGCCGTCACATTCGATTATTCCAGCGACCTATAGGGGGCGCCACCACCAAACAAACATGGCGGCTGGGAACAGGTCGTGTCGCCTCGGCCGAGCCGCCTGAACGGGCGGCACATTCAATTTAACAGATTTTTTTCGCTTAATGCCCTAATTTATAGGTATTTGAACTGCGGCGGTTAGGTGTAGCCGGTGAACATAAACTTGCAGAGCATAGTTTTGTTTTTCCCGAGCTTTTTGTTCTTTACGTGTCAAACTTTTCTTTCGGAGATTTCGTTCAAAACGGAAAATATGTGTTCCGGAGAGACGGCCGGTAAAAGACTCTAATCAGTTTTAATTAGCTAAGGAAAGCGGCGATGACTACAGAATTGTTGCACCGAGAGTAATTTTCAGCCAACTCGCGTGCCTCTACTATGCAACTTATATCTGTCCGCGAAATCGAGCTTTTGTGCGTATCCGCGTTTAAGAAACAGCTACAGTCGTCTGCTCGGTCAACAACACAGGCTGCAGGAAAATTACGAAAATTAAGCAAGCGCTTCTTGAGCCAAGGAGCATGTTAACCCGCCGGCGCCCCACTAAGCAGCTGATACTCCTATTTCAATTCAGGTTTTAGTAGCAATAGATAAGCCATTTGACAAATATGCGGGTTATGTATTATATTTCGTGCTATGGTCCCACTAAAGCGATATTAGTATATTCTTCGAATTAAAATACGAGCTTAGTTGACTAGCTTTTAGGTGAACTGCTGAATAAAAGTATATTTGACAGACAGAGAGATACTACTTAAATTCAGCCAAATAATTCTAGCCGGCAGCACGGAGACGAATGTGGACAATCTGAAGGGAGTCTTCATCGGAGATTCACGCAGAACCTCTCTGCATTGAACTTGACTTCGACTCCTGAACGGGGAAATTCAGTACTTTTGGTGGCCGGACAACCTGAGCAATGTAGACGTATATTGCTGCTGGCTTCGACGGGGGTATACTATAAATATTGGAGGCGCGATAGATCATAATGACTTGACAGCTTCTAACTTTGCGAGACGCGTCCCCTACCTTTTGAAAGAAGACGATAGACCTATTGCTATATTACCCAAGCATCAAGGAGAATGCAGAAATTGGTGTTCCACGCGCCGCACGTGCTGGCGTCAGCGGTAGCAATTTTTCTAAAGCAAATACCTACAACAAATAACATCTTGCACGCGCGTTCGTCAACGCTTTGTTTTGGTTATTTACCTCGAATCTTTTATATGGGGAAGGAGTGCGCGTGTGGCGTGTGGAACATCAATCCCTGCCTTCTCCTTGATGCTTGGGTAATATAGCAAATAGTTTATTTCCCTCATTAATCGTACGCAGCGTGGAGGCAGCGAAATCAGCCCTACTTCTTCTGTGTGGTGCATAGGCGTTTTCGGCGGAAATCGGCCAAGATGAATAGCCAATGCACCGACCGGTGTGGGTGACTCAACCTTGAAGTTAATCGAACACAACCAAACTCAAGAAAAACAGCTATTGAACTTTCCCATTCACTTGACCGCAACCACGGTGTAAGATAATACTCTTCAGGTGAGGACAGCGAGCTCTTCGTGCAGCGCAGATAAAATTAGTTTTTTACTCTCTCTCTTTCTCTCTCTCACTATGGTTTCAAGCGGCGCCGGCAGATGGCTCGTCGACCCGTGGACACGGCAAAGATGGCTCGTGCCGCCTCATGCTCCTCACGCGCAGAGCTCCAACGAGGCTGCCGCTCGTGCAGAAAGACCTCGGTGTACCGGGGTGTCATGGCAACGAGATAAGTTTTTTCGCTCTCACACAGTTCCGCCGTTTGGCCGCCGGCGGCACTGTCAGCCGCGGGCACGCTGGCCGCGGAAGAATGCAGCCTTTCGGATGCCCGTCGAACGAACGCTATCTGATTCCTTGCACAGCGCGTTCAGCCCCGCCGTGTCCTGACCTAAAGAGTGTATTTCACACGGTGACCACAACATTGGTGTTCCCTCAAGTGAAACACCATGTCCGTCGTCCTCATTCTGGAACTGTTCTACATTCTTTAAAAGAAACCTCTTATCAGTTACCAAAGTAGTCGACACTTTGAATATGATTCGAGACAGAAAAGAAATCAAAACTTTTTTCCGTGATTCCTCCCCATCCAAGAAATCGAAAGCACGCGACCGTGTGTTGTGGAGTAAACGGGCATTCGAACACGTGATGGAAGGAAACAATCTACTGAGGCTTCACTACACTAATGAACACTCAGGCAAACTTGAGAAATATTCGGACCTTCGTCAAATTACATTGTTCGCCACCGCGCCAACAACACGTGTCCGCGAAAGCCGCCAGAGACGCAGAGAGGCGCAAAGCAACCTGTTCCGGCTGGTTCCCGGTTTCCCCCTTTGGTGGCGTCCGTTTTGCTGGAGTCGCGAATATGGTTAAAGACTACGTGGGACAAAAGATCGACGGCGATTCAAACTGGACTCTCCGGAAGTAAGTCATTTCTTTTTTTTTCTTAGAAGTTTTACTGGGGGCTGAAAACTTTACAAAAAATGAGTGCAAAAGCAGAGTTGTTTCTCTAAGCACACTTAACGCTCTTAATTCGCCACATTCCTAAAGTATTAAAAATTTTTCAGAAGAGCGATATGGACCACTTTTCGTGCGGTGCATTCCTCACACGTGAGGATGCATTTGGATGCACCGACTGCCTGGCTGCTTTGTACGTGATCGGCAGGCATCCTACAGTGCAGCCCGGCACCCTACGGTGAGTGAGCTTGAGAAAATGGGCGCGCTCGATCGCTTTTCACTTTTAAGCGGCCGTTTATGCTAAAAGCCCTTCGGCCCCTCTTTCTCCTCTAGTGAATTTAGAGCGCCGTTACGGTTTTTAAGCCTCTTGCGACGTCTTAGGACCGGATATGCTGCAGCGGAGCTGGTCTATGATATCGCAAGAGGCTTAAAAACCGGTCTGGTTTCTCTCAGTCTTACTCGGTCGCAAGAGTGCGAACGGGCCTTTAACTGCAGCAGCACCAGCAACTTGCGAGTCCGCGCTTGAGAATAGAGAAGCTGGTAAGTCTGTATTTTGAAGAGTTACGTTTAGCGCTCTTCGTTTTTAAATGACTGTGCTGTGCCGTCCAGTCACCCGGCGTTCGATAAATCGTCAAAATGCAGAACATAAACAAATTGTATCACTGAGTACAAAGTGAAGTACTCACACCTAGAAGAGGTCAAGAGTTTTACGTCTCAGTAGTAAGCATGGGAACTAGACACAATAAATGACACTTTTAGACTGGCTCGAGAAAAGCTTACAGCAGTAGTTTAAGAACTGAAACCAATGGGAACAGTTCAAGCATATGACCGCGCGCGAACCGGCAGGGGAACCCCAGTTTCCGCCAAGACCCCTTTTAATTGGCCAATACCCAGAGAACTAAAACTCTGTCGGGCGTACGGATAGCGCACTCCATTTCAGAGGTGCCAAAATATATTTTCGCAAAACATAAGATATGTTCATAAAATCGTGGCCGAGCGAAGGAAAAAAAAAATAAAGAAACAGCCGTGTACAACATGGCACGAGTTAGATGAAAAACATGCAATGAAACGTAATGCGAAGCTTTTAAGCAAGCATTTCTTAGTAAACAGACAGCGACAACTTTGCTAATTGTTTTGCCCTCTTCAAGACAAACGAAAATGTTGTATCAGGTACTTTTCACCTTGAAGGTTGCAAGAGGGAAATTGAGTATTGATTGAAAAATGTCCCACCGATTTCTTCCGTTCACTCAAATTGTGCATACCTGGTAAAGGAGCCGTAGTGCATTCCCTTGCTGATGATGCCCATCATCAAGGATTGCTAGCGGTTCCGACTCCCCAAACTGGTATGCTCGATTGTTTTTGTCCACATGCATAAACACCGCGGACATAGCTTTAAAATGTGTCTCGTGTGTGTGTAAGCTTGATGAAAGGGCGTTTCTATCACATAGAACACTGATTTAGATAATCTAAACTATACACGTGTTCTTGTAGTGCATGCTTTTTTGTGTGCCCTAAACCAAGATATATTTACACTGCGTCAGAGACATTTCTCTCCATTAAGCTCAATGTTCTCAAGCAACCCTGATGTTTTCTAGCTTCTCCCCTTTGCATCCGCTCCCCTGTAGATGACACTGGAATTGAGCCCAGCACTGAAAGAAATTTTCCATTATCTTTACAGCGGGTATGGATGTTGAGCAAGCAGCAAGCAGGCAGAGCACGCCAAGCCGAGACGTTAGGAAAAACCAGCATGAAAAGTTCAACTTATATGAAGCATACCGTATTTACTCGAGTAATAGCCGCACTATTTATGAACAATGCCCTTGCTGCTATTTTCCCGTCAAAGCACATATACAGCCAATCATCGCGTTGCGCATAAATAACATAGCGAACAACTAGATTGAGAACACGAGTCTCCATACAAATGCAAACTTATCAGATGGTATCTTCGCGCGAAGATGTTATCTCTGTCCTGTAAACCGCTGGAATCATGCTGTCAATCGCGGTGATTGGCAATCCGTGTGCTCCGTGGAAAAGCAAACCCTCAGGTTTTCTTCATAAACAGTGTTGCTATTATT